GACCCCAGAAATGTCTGGCTATTTGACATAGTAGCAGAAATACTCATAGTCCTGGAAATCATCTTTGTAACTGGGGGTGTGCCCCTTGCCCACCCTGGTGCTCAGTTTTCCTATCTGTGGAATGAGGTAAAATTTGAGATCATCCTTCAACAGTTTTTGGAATAGCACAAAACAGGTGCTTGGAAAACACCAAGCTGGGGGGGTCACTGTTGTGGGGTGCTGGGCTCCAGGCTATGGCAAACCTCAGCTCCTTACACCTGCACACAGGGTTTCCAAGGCTTGGGGGTCTCTGGCCACCACAGGCACGTGCCCAGACCCTTATATCCCCTTTTCCCCCCAGAACTGCCTTCAGAGGGACTGGCTGTTCACACAAGAAGTCAGAGGAGGAGGGAGTGACCGCTGGGCTCCTTACTGCCAGGGCCCTGGTGAGTACACTGCCACCCTCAAGCTCCAGCCTCCCAGGCCCTGGCCTGGGGTCCCTGCCAGGCTCACTCTGCCCTCAGGGCCTTTGCCCTCCCTCTGCCCCCTGCCCAGAGTTTGCTTCAGCTAACTCCATGTTCTCTTCTGGATCTCACACCTCACCACTCCTGAGAGGCCCTCCCAGATTCCCGCATCTATCCTGTGGTGCCCTGCCAGATGTCACTCGTCCATCCCACTGATGTGTCTGGCACTTCCTCAGCACAGGTTTCTAGGTTACCAGCTCACCCTACATTCAGTCACTTGGCAGACAGGTGCTGATCACCTGTAATGACCAGGCACCATCCCAGAAATTGTAGGTGCAGGAACAGATAAGACCAGCAGAAATCACCATCCCTGTGGGGCTCATGGTCCATATGAGGAATGTAGACATGCCAAGTGTTGTGCAGGGAGCTGAGGTCCAGAAGAGGATGGGCTTGGGACCAGGCGTTAACCAGTGCAGCCGGGGAGGCCTCCCTGAGGGGCCTCCCAAGCAGAGAGCTGCAGGAGGGGAAAGCATGAGATCGAAGCCCACAGGAAGCGTGCACCAGGCAGAGGGAGCAGCGTGAGTGCAGGCCTGGAAGTGGGACCATGCCAGGCACTCTGTGATGGACAGGCACACACATGTAGCAGGAAGACCAAGAATAAGGTCTGGCCTACCTGCATGGGGCTTGGGGCCTTGGGAAGCTCTTTCTGCCTGTACAAAGGCCCAGCACACAGTAGGTGCTTGGTAAATGGGTTGAATAGTGGATGTTCTGAACCTGTGGTCAGTGCTGCACATGTCACCCTATTCAACTCCCACGTCAGCCCCATGAGGTGGGAACGAGGAGGAAACCAGAGGCAAACCACCTGCCCAAGGCCCCCCGGCTGGGCTCGGCTGAGCCCATCTGCCCCTCGGAGGCCCCCAGTACCCAAGGCACATCTTGCTGCCTTTGTGGGGCTCTTCCAGATCTCCACGTGTCCCTTCCACCTTTCCAGGAGCACTGATCCCTTTGGGGACTATAATTTTTGCCGTCTTCTGAACCCCGCAACCAGCACGGGAGTGCCCTGAGGCTGGGTGTGCGGCTCGTTTGAATAGCATGGGCAGTACCCAAAAGAGTGACCTTTATTCAGTAGGATTCTGTGGATAACCACTGAGCAAGACCTATGGAGTCTGGAAAAATGGAGAAAATAGGGAAAGTTGGTGAAATCAAACCTCCCTGAGCCCCCAGCACACCTCTCTGAATGGCGACTCCCACAGGCAAAGCACCCACTCTGTACTGGGCACGGGGACCTGCTTCACGTGCACTCCATCCCTTCTCCCAGCAGCCCTCTCAGGCAGTTCTCATTACCTTACCAAAAGAGGGTTGACTGGCATGGGCAGTTAAAAAGATGTGCTTGGGGCTGGGGTCTGGATCCTGACCATTTGGGTCCAGGACCAGGTCTAGACAGCATCACCCACCAAGGGCCCTTTCACACTCTCTGCTGCCCACGAGCCCCCCTCTGGCTGGAGAAATTCTAGTAGAGGCAGATTCTGCCTGCTAGGGCAGGGACCAGGACTTGGGCACCCCTGTATCCCCGACCCCCCCAACATGGGGCTGTGACACCCAGAGTCAAGGTGAGGCCATCAGCCTTGCGTCTGCCCCCTAGCCTTCCACAGGGCCTGATTTTGTGGGATGAAGATCCCTTTGTGGAGGATGTCTGCACCCAACCCTCACACACCTTGAAGAAA